TATGGTTTATTTGGATGGCAAGAAACAGTAATAAATATGAAGATATTTGTCACACCCCCTCTATCACTACCATCTTTGTGGCTGCTTATTTTAAAAAGGCATGGAAATCCTCCTTTGGACAGGATGCTACTCCTACTATTGGGGATAAGAGTAGGAAACCCATTTTGATTAAATGGGCACTACCCCCCCATGGTTGGTTTAAGATTAATGTTGATGGGAGTTTCTCCAATGCCTATACGGGTATGGGAGGGATTATTAAAGATGCATATGGAAAATGTACATAGCTTATTTTGTGTCACCTTTTATTGCTAACTCTGCACTTGAGGCTGAAATTGCTGTTGTGCTTGCTGCTCTACATATGGTCACATCTTTAAATTTAAATGATATTGTGGTGGAAACGGATTATGAAATTTTGTTTAATATTCTTTTGACTAAGACTAAACCTCTATGGTTTATCATTGCCTTGCTGAACAGAATCAGATTAACTATTGAAAGACATCACTTGCATATTTTATTTACTTTTACTTATAGAGAAGGGAATAAATTTGCAGATTGGTTGGCCAAATGGAGATTGCAAAATGCTATTGTTGGTAATACCCTTCCATCTTTCTTGCATAAACTTATTAAAAATGATTTGGATGCCTCGTTTATTCGATTTTGAGACGTTCGCCCTTTTTTTCGACTCATCTATGGATTTTATGGGTCTGGCTTTCGTTTTTCTGATTAATGAAATGGTAGCCTATCTCTGGTCTTCTATGGGAAGAACTCTGTGCTTTAAGATTTGGTTATCTTATTGCATTTATTATCTTTGTTCTGGGCTTTGGTTTCTCAGTTTTGTGCCTATAAGGAAGAATTTTGCTGCCTATATATGTTGGTTTGGGGCTTTTAGTCACACTTTTGGCTACCATTTTATAATAAATGCTGTAAATTATGAGCTTACTGGTTATATATTGGAGCTTGGCATGATTGGTGAGTGCAGCACTAATAGTTTTCATTTTGTGGGTTGCTTTTTTTGGGCCCACGGGCATGACTGCTATATATATAGTCTAATGAAACTTTGTTCCACTGGCTGGGTTTTGAATTTAGTATTTGGAGCAACTTTCTTACTGATAAGCTATATTGTGAGCAGCTTTGTCTGTAGAGCATGCATATACCCTTATTGCACTAATTGGGGTTTTGTGGTTATGACCACTGAATGCCATTATTTGTTGTGGTGGCTCTTTGCACAACAAATAACTTATATTATTTATTTGAAGTGGCTCACGGCTTATGATATACAATATTGGCTTATTGTGGCTCTTATTATTTGTCACTTTATTTGGGCTTTTGTTAAGCTTGTGGTGTATTTTTGGAGGAGTCATATGGGACTGATAATGGTTATTCTGAGGGTTTTTTGTTCCCTGCACGGTTGGGATGAATGTATCACGATAGATGGTTGGAAGGATTTTGGTGCTGAGGTGGTATCTCATGAAAACCTTTTACACTCAAACATTTACTATGACTCCAAATTAATTTGTAGATTTTTGGAGATTCTTTTGCACTGGTATTAGGCATGCAGTGGCCATATTCCTTGGCATGGGTAATGCATTATTGGCTTTGGGTAGTTTGGAGATTATTTTGGACAGGATTTATTGGTTTGATGCACGATTTCATCGCTCCACATATTTTAATTTCTCTACTTCTTCATTGACTTTATATGACCTGTCTATATGCGGGCTCGCTGGTAGAATGTTTTGGATTGGTATATTGTGGAATATTGCCTTGGCTTTGATTTTATTACACCGGGACAGCTCTAGGGGTCAGTTTGCTCTTAGCACTGCGGTTTCTAGTAATTTAGTAGCCCATTTCACTTGTTGCTTAGGGGTTTTTGTTTATCTTATCGATTACAACAGTCCTATATACATTTTGCATTGTTTGGTGACTGTCTAGCAACTTTGGATCACTTTGCTGGTCACTATTTTGATTAAGGGGGGGTGGTCTCTCATCTTTACGGATATTGGGGCTCTGGGCTTCTTTGGTGACTGGATGGTTCCTCATTGTGGCCAAATGATATTGCTGCATAATTATTGTCACCTTCTATACTATTCTTTATTAACTAATTTGGCAGTGAGTTGTCTTACAGATTTCTGGAGACGTGACACTCATATGCTTGATGCCAGAACTGCCTACTTATGATTATATCATGGAAGATGGATTTTGTACTTTGGGTGTTGGCAGGAACCGCTGGATATATCTTGAACTTAGCTCTTTTGATTTAAAAATTTTTACTTTGTTTTTTATATTGGAGTTTGGTATACATGTAAATTTTGGGTATACTTCTTATGTTGGTATACTTTTTGGGTGTACACATGTATTTTCTGCTTTTTGAGTGGTGATGTAATGCAAACAGTGGAACCCCTAGGGTTTGATTTTTCTGTTTTGTTACTAGTCGGGGATCCACTATCGCACCCCATTTTTGTACTTTTTTTAATTATTAACGCGTAAAGAGCCACAAACTGTTCTTTTAAATATATATATATATATATATATAATCACACACACACACAATGAATTGCACGCTAAGTGAACATGAGGCGAACAGATAAAGCTTAGGATTTATCCACATATTGTATTGAGCTAATGACAAACTAACACTTAGGTATGTCCAAACTGAATTGAACCACGGACTAATTTTGTGGGCTGATTGGTCTCTATCTACTTATCCTGAATTCACCCGCAAACTGACAGTAAGCGATGATGAGTCTGACTTAGCCAACAAGGTTTTTAGCCATACAATTAAATATGTTAAGAAACTCATAGCTACTTTAAAAAAAGACTCATTGTATTAATTCATAGAGATCTTTCCTCCACATAACACATTTAATATTCTGAAAAAAAAGAGCTTTAATTCTTGGAAAGGGTCTCACTAATTTAAGAAAAAAAATGCCTTTATATTTCCAGAAGTAAGATTTGGCTCAGGGTTTTTCCCAACCTGAATAGGCCATATATGTAAGGAAATTTATGCACCAATTAAAATTCATAAACTGCACCACTGTAGATCATTGGGCTAAACAGTATTTCTTGAGATGATTTAAGTCTCATGATCATAAGATATGACTGAAAGATCATATATTGGGAATGTTAACTTTCACTTCTTTATCATAAGATCAATGGTTCTCCATATCCTTCCTCTTTAAGAACATTCATCAAAATCATGGAAAAAATAAAGCAGCACAAAAGCTAAATTAGATTTTGATGGAGCATTTATCCACATACCACACAATTCTTAATAATGTATATATGTATCATTATACATGCATAACACTCAAATATTTAATATTACATAAAAAAATATCACTATTTATAGCATTTTGAAAGTAAAATAGACATTTTCATGCATACGGTTTATAGCACAAAAGTGCTAAAATGTAAATATCATATTTTAGATGTTAGATATGAAAATACATAAAGATTGTGTGGTATGCATGTCAATTTCCTAATTCTGAAACTTGGAAGTCTTAAAAAACAGTGCAACGACATTCCAATCACACATGAATTGTAAAATTCTATAAAAAAAAGGGGGATTGGCAAACAAATCACTAAATTTCTATATTTTTATCTACGTTTACTTAAATATGTATAATATGCTAGCATATAAATGGGATCAAAATATAAGCATGATAAGATATATTTCACATTAGCTATGTTAATTTTACTGATATTTTTTATGCCATTTAGATATTATTTTAGATAAATAAATAAATATTAGATATATAAGAACATAGATATTCAATGACATATATGCAAATCCTCAATTAAAGAACAGCAAAAAAAGGCAGCCACATACATGTGCTATCCATAACCTAACACATTTTCTGCAATGGACCCACATAAATGAAGACGACAGACATGAAAGCCCAGCCATCATATATATTATATTATTTGGAAAAGTATCACATCAAACAGCAAGGGAAATGAACGTCGCAAAACTTTCAATAGCTATCCATTGTAGGGGACCATTAGATGGCTTCACCCAGGAACCAAAATAGGGCAGACACCGCTACAACAATTCATATAGAAAAGGCTCAATCACACATGGAGAAATAACTTTTTAAGCAGCTATTGAAAGAATCCTATAAATCAAACAAACAAATAAATAAATACATAAGGATTAGAATTAAATGCATGAATTTTACCTTATGTAGCAGCTGCCTTCAAATTTACACTTCTTGGCGACCGTAAATGAATGCTGCTAGCAGGCAAAGGTAGGAAGAAATAAATTCAATAAATGCATCTATCACTACAGTCTACAGAAGACATAAAAAATGTTTGATTTTGTAAGAACTCAGACCATTACATGACATCTTCACATAACTTGTTAAAAACATGGAAATTTACATACATACCAAACAATTTCTTTCTATTTACATATATAACACCTAAACTTTGATATTTACATTATGACACTCAGGTGTAGTGATTTATGAAGCTACGCATGAAAAATTGTACTTCACATATAAAAAGTTAGCAGTAATGATATTTTTAATGTAATATAAAACGTTAGAGTGTTATGTATGTAAATATAAGAGTTTAGATGTTAGATATGTAATACATGTAAATTGTGTGGAATGTAAAGGCTTCTAAAAACCTTCAAACCATTTTGGTCATCACCAAATGGCCTCATAATATTTTGCTTATGATTTTATTTCATTTCATAGGTTATAAAAACGCCTAACTACTAATGACAAAAATGGAGCGGAGAAGGTTGTAGGTGCAAGAGTCATACCTTTCAAAAGCATCCCTCCTTTGAAATTGCAAACAACAGATACATCTAATGAGCTTCTTTCAAAATATCTCATTAGGTTTTATTTTTACATACTTCATTGATCCAACAAAGAAAAAATTATGACAGCATATCAATATTTCTTTTGTATAAACTAGCATTGCTTGGTTAGTGTAATATTTCCTTTTAAAAAATAAAAGAAAAGCAATGCAGACTTACTGTTCTAACTAGAAATTGCTAATTTGCAGAGAAAAAACTCAATACAATCCTTCAAGTTACAATTCCATAAGAATATTTCTGAAGATAAAACCATAAACGTGAAGGGCACAACTTCCACTAAAGTTCCTGATTACAAGTTACAGACTTATTCACACAACACAAAATCAACAATTTTTGCCCAAGCTTGCAAAGAACATGAAAGAAATAACTGTATGATACAAAATCCAAGCCCTATAAAATGTAGCTCATTATCATACAAAACAATATGTATAATTTAAATTAGTAAATAGCATTAGCTTTTCAACAGGGAAGAGAAAGTTGTTTACTAAAACCTCACCAAGCTGATTTCCTTAAAGATTAACAGCAGCTGCAAAAAATATAAATCACCGTCACTTTTTTTTGTTTTCTTCTGTATTATCCAGCACAAATTCAGCATACAAGTTCTTCAAAGCAATGACAATAGTCATTAACAAAGGGCCCATTATTGCTCCCTGTCGATTGAAACATCAAAATAAGCTGCTGAGTTCAATAAAATTAATGCAGAGAGAAGAGTAGCTGAAACTACTTCAGGTTCCAAAAATCCTCATAATCACTTCTATATTTAAGCATGACTAACAGTATTATGTTAGCAATGCCATAGCATCCAAACATTATGTCAATCTTTATAGGACACAGAACACCTTCTACTTCAAGAATAATACCAAAGAAAATGGTTTATCAAGAGAATAACTAACACGATTCTCCGTTATTTCAAAAAAGTAAGGTCTGCATTCAGTAATTTAACCCCTCCCCCAAAAAAAAATCCTGACAAGCACACAAAAGTTTGCTTAGCTATTGTTTGTAGGTAGGGATTCAAAGTTTGAAAGCTAAAATCGAACAGAATCAAGCAAGGAGGTTAACTAGCAAGTTATTGAAAGAGGCTTTCACTCCTACACTACAGTTCAAAGATAATTGCTCCAGAAGCAAAAGCAGATACCTTTCTTCTCATAAACAATAAAAGTATGCACAATAAGAGTATAAATCCTAGTCATGCTACTTTGTAATACTAATATGCCATCAAATATAGGCTAAAAAGAACAAATTTACAAGGCATTTTTATCAAGAAAGCAAAGAGCAGAACTTTACCTCTAAAGCATTGGGGAACAATGTCATGCCACCAAGGATGCTGAGACCGGTAAGATAAGCATTATATCCGGGAATATCCTCCTGAATGACTGAAGTTCCATAATCCAGTAGCATAAGGTGCACCACTGTCAATCCAACAGCCCAGATATACCTCCCTTCCATTAAGAGCTCTACAGCGGCAACAATTGATGATATCCAAGGTGGCAATAATGGAAGCAATGCACTAATGAATGCTAACAGTGTCGACATGTACACAAAATGTATAGAAAAGAAGCGGAAAAGAAGCCAAGTGAGGCAACCTTGAAAGATTGCAATCTTCACAGTGACCAAGAGAACACTACTAATTGCATGGTTGATCACCTCAACACATCTATCTCTTGCTGTTTTTGAGATAGGAATCAAGCCCATGACTTGCTCAGTCACCCCACCAGACTCTGAGGTGATGAAATAGTACAAAACCCAAAGAAAAACCATCAACTGGGAGACAAAATTCAAAACTTCTGCTGCACCAGAGACAATTGCCAGAATAACAGAAAACACCAAGCTTGCACTCCCTCCAAGAACAGAGGTGCCACTAGCCAACACCTGTTTTGCCACTTCCATGCCCTGGAAAGCAAACCCCTTAGCCTTCTCAATCAAGTCCACCCTAGTGGCCATCAGTTCCTGGAAGATGGAAACCAGATCTGAATAGATTGCTCCAAACTCCCGATTCTTCGTGTGAACGCTCAACGTGTGGAACTGTAAAGTGTAAGGGTGCGGCGAAGGGCCTGCCAGTGATGTTGATAAATCTTCAGATAGATTCCCTGGCTTAGAAATAATAAAATGTCGCAGCCCATTGACAAACTCTGTCATATTATACTGCGCTCCCAGATGATCTAGATGTTCCCATACAGTCTCATACAATTGAGCCGAATATTTATCCACAATACCTGGTACATCGTTCTCGTCAATCCACTGCTTGAATCCGATTTTTTCAGCATAGTTGCTATTCTCCATGTGGGATTTAATGGACATAACAGCATCCTTTCCCTCCAGCCCAATCTTATACGAAAAGAAAACACTCCCAGCGATGAACCCTAGGATCATCCCAGCGATCAGCCCAATCGCGATGATGGTTTTCAGGTTTCTAAGTATGTATGCGGTGAAGAAGACAGACCTGTGCTTGGACTGCCGGCTCGCACTGAAGCTAGCGTAGCGAACAGCGGAGGCCGTAGGGCCTGCCAGTAAGAGTCCGGCGGTAAGAAGAACAAGCGAAACAGGACCGAGCCGCTCGAAGGACACGAGGAAGAGCCAGAAGCAGGCGAGCCAGCGAAGGAGGCGATTAAAATCGAATCGGCTGTTGAGTGGGCGGCGGAAGAGGAGTGAGCGGACGTCGGAGAGAGTGTCGGCGGAGGCGCGGAATACGGCAGCGGGGGCAGCGAGGAGGGTCGGTACGAAGCCTAGGCGGAGTGGATCGGACCAGAAGGAGAAAAGCGCATCCTGGATCTCGCGGAGGGGGATAGAACAGAGAAGAGCCCATTGGAGCGGCCGGATGAAGTCGTGAAGAAGACGGTAGAGACCGTACAGGAGGAGGAGCGAGAAGGCAAGGCCTGCGTGGGCCATCGATATGTAGAGGGCGAGGCGAACCTCGCTCACAGAAGAGGAGCAAGCGGTGGTGCATGCTCCGGCTGCGGAGGGTTGGCGTGGGGGAGGGGAGGGCTGCCGTGAGGAGGGGATGGAGTCCGGCGGTCGGCGGAGGGAGGCGGAATGGAACATCTCCGACCATGGGGGGCTGACGGAGTTAGACATGGGCTTGGGGTTTGGAGAAGAGGAGTACGGTATGAGCTCCATTAGGCGGAGGAGGAGATGCAGGGGAGAGACGAGAGCGGGAATAACGATAGAGACTCCGAGGATTACGGGAGATGATCATCTTGATTAACTGGCATAAACACACCCGAAATCTCTATAATTTGAAATAGTCGAGTCTGGTACAACTGTAAAATGGGTATTGCTGCACTCATATAATGGAATAGTTTATGCAATGAAGTATGCAATGAAGTACATGGGAAATTACATTTTTTACTGAACTTTTAAGTTCTAATACATTTAATATTTAAGTTGTTTTAGTTATTGTTACATTTTATGACTTCTAAATTACGTAAAATATAACAGTGATATTAATTTCTATAAAAATATATAGGCATAAGAATATTAGGATGTTTATAAGTAAGTTTATAAGGTTTAGCCTGTATTAGGCATGCAAATGTATAAGAATTTAAAGGGCATTTACATATGGACCACTCAATTCCTATGTATTTACAAATCTAACACCTAAACATTGTTTACTTTTTCTTACACCCAAATCATTTTAATCAAGTAAAGAGCACCATTTAACTTTATAAAGTGAATTGTCTTGGTTTGCAAAGGTATGGTGGTATAGGAATTCAGTGGTATGTATTTTCATGCCTTACTCCTAAACTTTAATCAAATAAAGAGCAACATTTAATCATTCTAATCATATTTGACAGACACATTCGTAGTGACCTTGCGAAACTCCTCCTTGGTTCAGTTTGAAATGAAATCGGTCCTATGAATGATCTTGGTGTAAGGGTGGCTCGGTTTCGGCTTAGACTAGGTTAGAGACCACAGGATGGCTTGATTTTCATTGGGGAAGTGTTGTGGGGATCTTCGGAAGCTTTCGGGATGCTTAAGTTGGAGTTTTGATAAGGTTCATGTCTAACCCAAAAATTGCCCTAGTTTTCAATGACAAAATTAGGGTTTCACAGTGGTTTTGGTGGGCAAAAAATGGAGGGTTTTTATTGCCTATGTCCAAAGGAGGTTTTCTCTGTTGAGAGGCAAAGATTTGGGAGGTTGTATATGAACTTCTCTCTTATACGGGAGCTCTCGAGCAAGGGCTTTAAATGGCCATTGGAAGCCATTAAATAGCTTGAAGAGGATTAGAGAAGGTGAGTGGTTGCTTAAGGGATCCCCAAGGATAGATTTCGGCCATGATCAATCAAGCTTCATTTCCCAATCGTGCGCTCATCATGAAACCAAGCATTGAGATAAGAAATATTTGAGGGGCTTTGCTCTCATTGAAAGGATGATGAGGTGGATAAACAACTCAGGAGTGAGTTGGCTTGACCCTTCAAAGATGGTCTAAGGGAGAATAAGGTGAATGTCATGTGGAGTGACATGTGTTCCTGTCTTTATTATGGCTTGGAAAATTCAACAATGGTGGCTCAGTGGGTTCTTAAATGAGTTATCCATACAATTATAGGTACTAATGGGTCATGAGTGACCCAATAGTAATGGGCCATGGACTAGATTTGGGCTTGGGCTTCATGGATGGGCTTGGGTTTTTCTTTTGGATTTGGGCTTAAGCCTTTCATGACATTTCTTCTTCTTCCTTTTTTTTATTTTAAAATTCATTAATTAATTATATAGGAGGAATTTTTGAAAATTAATCCATGGAGATGACTAATCATGCAACCATAGGTTTGACCAAGTGGACTTATCTGGAGATGAGGTGGCCATGTGGTGTTGAGTTGACCATAGGGGTTGGTTTGACCAAATCATCAATGTGGTGATCACATGATCCAAGGTTGACCAAATGGTGAATTTTGTGATCATAGGGTCCAAGTTTGACCAAATGGTCCATGTGGTGACCATAGGTTCCAGGGTTGACCAAATGGTCAATTTTGCCCAAATGAAGGTTTTTTATCGTTAGTTTGACAAATCTAAGGTGTCACCAAAATTTGAGGTTAAAAGGGACACATTAGGGTTTTGGTTTGGTTCTTAAAGTTTGAAGGCCTCTGGTGGAATCAAGGATCAATGTTGGTAGATCCCTTCCCCATAATGGATTTATGGGTTGGTGGCAACCCTTGAGGTCCACAGGTAAGTTTTTAGGGTATATGGGAGATACCTAGGGTTTTAAATGGGTTTAAGTGATATAGGGCATGTCCTACCCATAAAGGTTAATGAGGGTTTCCCTACTTGGTCAAAACTCTAAGTTAGTTTAATCAATGGGTTGGGGCTTGATGTTTGGCCTGGTAGGGTCCCAAAAAGGAACAATCTTAGTTTAGGATTATTGGTGATGTAAGTGAGTGGGTCCTCACAAAATGAGGTCAACATCAATTTAAGAGTTTGTATATCAATCCCATGAGAAAAAGTATAATAATTATTCTTGTAGAAAAATTTGTAGTGTACTAATCTTGTGAACCTAGTGTGGTGTGATCACAAAATTGCTTTGAATTCTAAATTCCTAACAAAACAAATTAGAGAGTAGATGGTAGAAAACACAAAAAGCGGAGAAATCTTAGGATTTCTTCAAGACTAAGGAGGCTTGTGCCTCTGTGATTCAGGAATCGTGGTGGATCATGTTGTTCCTAAATGTATTCCTACATTTTAGTTGTCAACCGACAATAAAGGTTTTCCTTTTGTTTATGTCTAGGTCAAAATAAGGCTAGAATCTATGAAGTTGAGGCTTCCTTCAACCCCATTGCATTCCGCAGAAATGTTTTAATCCCAAGAAAATGTTGCAAAATGCATTCTGCAGAAATGTTTTAATCCCAAGAAAATGTTGCAAAATTTTACTAAAATATGTCTATCCACTCATGATTCTGTGGTTAGCCCTTTCATTTATGTTACGCAATGGTTTGAGGTCATAACTTCACAAAATATTTTAATACGTAGTCGGCTAGATTAGGAGTAAATGAAACTCAGAGATTAACTGAAAGCATATGCCATGAAAGCACGAAAAACACTACAAAAAAAATATCTCATAAAATCATGATAAAAGCCACTACTCCTACATCACAAAAGCACGAAGAAGAATTAAGTCACACATAATCAAGAAAACCATAGAAAAAATAACTATGCTTAATTTCATTACAGGAAACAAAGACATGTTACACTTACTATGAACTTGGCTACTCCACAGCGGCACCAACCCTCCCTCTTATACAAAACTCTCTCAAACTCACAAGAAAAAGGTAAAAAATCATAGCCCCAAGGGTTTCAACCAAGGGAAGGAAGAAACCTAAGAGAGTAACTCAGTCTCTAACTGTCCCAGAACTCTTCTCCTTGAAAAGAATCCTTAGAACCATTTTTACATCAAAATACATGAATTTGACAAGCAATTTTCCTTCCAAATATGATTTCCTGCTTCTCGGCATGGTCATGTCGAAAGCTTTCATGGTCACATCGAAACCTGGCATGGTCACATCGAAACCTGGCATGGTCACGCCAGGCTTCTAAACTGGCTGACATGATCTCGCCCAATCTAGGTGTGGTCACACCGCTGGTTTGGAATTTTGACATGGTTGTGCCACTGTTATCGAGCATATGACGTGGTCACACCTCTTTCAGAAGTGTTCATGCCGCTTCAGGCCACTTTTTGCTAGTTTTTCTCATTCAAATTTCTCATATTCAACAGCTATAACTTGAATAAAATCAATTAAAAAAAACTATTTGTAAATCTGTGATAAAGAAGTGAAAATAATATGGAAAATGCAAGTAAATTCATGTATATTTGAATCATGTAAAACATGTGCACTTGCATTTACCATGTGAAGTAAGGTCGTAATGCCAAATTTTGGACTTGTCATAGAATTTTGTCTTTTTTTTCTACATCTATAGGTGGAGTGGATGGATTAGATTAATCAAAGATAACATAAGTTGATTCCTCAACAGCTAAAGAAAATTTGTTGAAAATCCCATAAGCCATTCCATTTGATAAGTAACTTAATATAACTATTTCATTTGATTTGGAATCAAACATACATAAGTTAGATATTTCATTGATTAGCACAAAGCATTGGCATCCAAAAACATATAAGTCAGGTAGATTTGGGGTTCTTCCTTTTAGTAGTTCACAAACTATTTTATTCAATTTTGGTTTCATATTTACCCTATTAAGCACATAGCAAGTAGTACTAGCTAATTCTACCCCAATATATTTATGAAGCTTATATTAATTAAACATAGAGCTTGTAGCTTTGACAAGCATTTTATTTTTCCTTCCAACTATCTTATTTGATTGTGGGGTCCTAGATGCTAAATTTTTTTTTAATATTATACTTTTTGTGCAATATGTTTTAAATTTTTAGTTTTCAAATTCACTGTCATGGTCACTATGAATAGTTGGAATAGGACACAAAATTTTTCTTTATATCCACATGAAAAATATTTAAAAAATTATAAATGACTCATTTTTATATCTAAGAAACTTCACTCACAAAATTCTTGTATAATCATCATTAATACAAAAATCCTATGATTTTACTCTCAGATTTGTGAAAACCTATCAACATAAATTCATTTGCAAGATCTGTAAGGTTGTAACGGTGATTATATTCTTAAGAGTGGAAGGAGGTCCTAACTTATTTGTTTAGTTAACAAACATCACACAGGTGGGCATTAGTAAATTCATTTTATGAATGCCTCTAAGTATATTTAAATGTGTAATTTTCTTATGTGTGTTCATACTAGTAAGGAATAATCACATATGTCACAACCAAATCTATTGTGAGTACCAAAGATATATTTTTAGCTTCTTCTACATTATCTAAATAAAGTATATAAATATTATTAATATGACTTCCTTCAAAAATGGTTTTTCCATTCATATTTAGCAAATATTTATCAGCCATAAACTTAATGTTATAATCTCTTTCTCATAGTTGTCTAATACTTAGCAAATTGTATTTTAATTAGTAAATTAAATGGATTTTTTCATTATAGTAGAGTTTGACTTGCCAACAATACATGAGCTGATTATCTTATCATATTATTATCAGTAAGTCACTTAATTTGCCCATCTTATATTCAAGTTGGATGACTTTTTCTTTATCAATAATCATATATCTAAGCACCACAAATCTTCATAGGTCATATTGTGAAGGCATATATGGACACACGATTAGTTATTAGATATAGGTATTTAGATTATTCTAGGTTCTATAAACAAAATAAATGAATGCATGTTCAAAATTT